AAAAAAAAAAAATAGGCTCTGCCTTCTCCGTAAATGTTTCAGCTGAAAGAATAAAACTAAGAGATTTTAAAAAACATAAACAAATATATATACACTTTTAAGCTCACCAACATCATAGCTGTATGGTTTAACTTCTCTGAGCCTTAGTATTTTTGTCCAATTAAGTACCGATAATGTCAAATATACTACTAGGTTATGAGAAATGAATAAAGCTCTAGAAAGTGCTAAACATTTGACATATGACATATAGTTCATAAAAATGCTACCAACAAATCCTTTTTAAAGAAATCAAAACTCCAAGGGTTCTTCCAAATAACACTTCTAAGTCCTAGGTAGAAGTAGGAAAGAGGGAATCATTTAGTGTACTTAATTCATATAACCTACAGTTATCCAAATAGTGGCTTAGTTTTATTAAATTACAATTTCTACCTAGCTCAGAGAAAAACTGGATGTAAAGAAAAAAGAACACCATTGTAAATTCATGTTTTGTAAAACATACAGTTCAAGGACTGCCAGGTATATTCAGCATGGCAAAACAAAAACCTCTAGGTGAAAGTTACAAGAAAAATTTTGGCTCAATGTTATGAAAAAAATCCAAAATTTCCAGATACTTAAGAGCTGGGTGTCCAACAACACAGCTTTACATGTAGAATAATGCCCCCACCACCACCCATGACAGAGGTCTGCATCCCAATACCCAGAACCTGTGACTATGCTGTTACATGACCAGAGAGAATTAAGATTGAAGATGGAATTAAGGTTACTAATCAACTTATCGTGAAATGACGAGAATATCCTAGATTATCCAGGTCAGCCCAATATAATGAAAAAGATCCCTTGGAAGACAGAAGGCAGGAGGCAGTGAGGAGAGAGATGTAACATGATAAATACTGGCTCAGCCCTGCTGACTTCGAAAATGGGAGGGAGCCATGAGCCAGACTGAGAAAACTTTAGAAGCTGGAAAAGGCAAGAAACAGATTCTGTCCTAGAGCCTCCAGAAAAGCACAAAGTTCCTGCTAGATACCACTGTTTTGGTCTTCTGAACTCAAGAACTGTTAAGATAAAAAAATTTGTATTGTTTTCAGCCACTAGTTTGTAGCACCAGTGATAGAAAAGTAATGCAACTTGCCTTGGGATGTAGTATCCTCTCCCTCACAATGATGCCCAGACAAGTTGTTCAAGGTGTATGTTTGCAGGCAGGGGATGAGAAATAGGTAAAAAGTCAAGGTACTTCAGACATCAGTAAATCCTTGAAACTTCATGCACATTTTTGTGTGTAACTACATATGCTCTTCTTTGTAGAGTCTGGAGCATTCAAAGATTCTCAAAAAGGTTCCTTTACAAACAAGAATAAGAATCTTAGATTATTTCCAAAACTGAGCATTTAACATTCCATGATTTTCTCACGCAGTGAGTCTGAAAGTGTAGTTCTTCAAACACCAAAATAAAATATCAAAACTCCCCTAAGGTTGTTTGTAAAATGCAGGTTCCCAAGCTCCATTTGAAACAGAACGTCTGGGAGCTGTAGTAAAGTTCAATTTAACAAACTGAGAGATGGAAGAGTGAGACTACTACACACACCGCTCCAAAGAGTATTTTATGAAACATTACATAGAAGAGACTGAAATAAATTATCTTTACTCAATCTTCAGCAAACTTAAAGAACTTATCTCCCTGTGTGACTTTGTCTTTTTTTTCCTGAGCCTTCAGCAACTCAGAACAAGTAGGCAATACCTACTGCGACTAATCTTTTAGATTAAAATTCATCCTGCGAAGAGCCAAGAACGATGACCGGCAGAAAATAAGACACTACAATTTGTTACTTTTATTAACCACCTCCCATTCTCACCTTGATTTCCTACCCAGGCCCAGCATGCCACTTTACATACTGTACCGTTAATGAAGAACTGTATTTTTTGAGTTCATATCATTACCAAATGGCAATTTTCTATAATTAACTCAGTATGATTCCTGTCCTAAATTTTCATTATTTCAAGTGAATGTTTTATTTGAAACAATCTCCAGGTCCCTATGTTCGTGGTGTTGCAGGTATTTACAAATTAAGTCTTGGAAATTACGTGTCATCAAGTGGGACAACCCGACTAACCTCGAAGATCTTAGATCTCCCAGTAAGGCAGAACTTTGAGACTGAATAAAAACAACTAATAGTAGCTTTTGAATTTAAAGAACCTTGAGCAGCTTTTCTCACTTAGACATGCTTGACAACGTGAAAGGAACCTAAAATGTGATTGTTGTAGGAGCCTGAGAGGAGAGCCTTTGAAATAGACCTCTCTCCATGCCTATCAAATAACCCAAATTCCAAGGAAAGGTCACACGCAAAGAAGCCATACAAACCAGGGGGCCCGGGGCGGAGTCAAGCTGTTCCAGCTTCCAGGACAGACCTTTGCTGCATGCGTGAAGCCAAGTCACTAGATAACAAGAGAGAGGGCGAAAGGAATTGGGAGACCCAGCACATCCACACCTAGACGCGGGGCGTCAATCAAGAATGCCCAGAGCCCAGGCCCATTGCTCAGCTACACAGGGGAATTGAGTGAGCCTAGGGCACTCACCCCGCAGCCACTGTGTGCTGTGAAACCATCTCCAGCTAGATCCACGGCCGACAGAGAAGCCAACAGCGCCCTTAGCCAGCCCCAAGCTTCGCCGCCCGGCGAAGCCCAAGAGATACCGCAACAGAGACGGGTCACAGCGCAGCCTCCAGGAGGCCGCCATCTTCCCGGCCTTCTCCCGAGCTGCCCGCCCCATTGCCTGATCTCCAGCTCCGAGGATCTCCCAGGCCATGCCTCCTTTCCGGCTGGCCACACCCCTTACCTCCCTCCCAGCCTGTAGGTCTCACGGAAGAGCTATCTAGCACCGCCTCCAACTTCGTTGGCCACGCCCCCTAGTCGGTCCGCCACGCCAGGGACTCCCCCATTCAGCGTTGTCCTCCCGGACCCCGCCTCCTGCGCGGTCCGCCCCGTCTCCGGGCTGCCCTTAGCGCCGCCTGATTGCACTTGAGCCCTTGCCTGTGCCAGGCTCTGAGCTGTGTGGGTGTGGAGGCAGCGGGTCCCTGTCGCCAGTGCTATGTCTGGATGCCACGCTCCAGATGGAGACTGTATCTCGCGGCGATGCGAAGCGCAGGTAGGGGCGGGCCCATAGGCGCCTGGTATTCCGGGGTCGCGGGCCGTGGGGCGGGGCCTCTGCGGTCCTCCGCGGCCGCGTGGGTGACGAAGCCATCTGGGTCTTTGCGCTCTGGTTTGCGGGATGAGGGCTCGCTGGCGGGATCTGGGCGCCAAACTCCGAAAAGCAGCGCAGTGAGAGTATTTAGGCCACTTAACTGGGGTGTTTTGGGGAGGACAGGGAGAAGAAGGAATCCTCAGGCTCCGAGCGGAACTGGAGCGAACGCTGAACGCCTCAAGTTGACTTTCTGTGCCCTGGGGACCTCTGTAAAGTTGCTGTGCCTCGGAGTGAGCACCCTTCCGAGTTGCACCTTACCTGCCTCAGCTTAGTTTATGAGATATAATTCTTCTTAAGCAGAAGTCAGGCGGGCGTGCAGGAGGATCTCTGTGAGTTGGAGCCCAGCCTGAACTGCAAAGCGAGGCTAGACAAATTAGACAAATAATTTCGGTATGATATGATACTCCTGCATAAGAGACAGAGAAAGCTCCTTTCTAAAAGAGCTCCCTTACTCCTTTCGTTACTCTGAGGACTGAAGGTCCCCAAAAGTAATAAAACCTTGGAGACGTTATTTCTACGCATTTGAGACATTACCTTGTTCTAAAAAGCGACTTCATGAATTAGCAATGAGAACACCAAAAATGAATAGGCAATGGGGTGGGAAAAGATCTTGGGTACAGGACTGTTACCCGGTTTTGGGGTTTGGGGGACTTATGCTAGAGGTGTTTTCTAGATTATTCTTGTCTTGAACAGAGAGTTGGACAAAAGCAAAAGGTAGTGAGGTTTTTACTAAAGGTAGGGGAAAAAAACATGCTGTGTAGAATGAGTTTGGCCCAATAAAAAGTAGAAGTACACTCTACAAGGTGAGAGTGGACCAGCATGAAACAACACAGGGGCTTTCATCTCCCTCTCCTGGGGCTGAAATCAGGTCTAGGCCATCCTATGGAACCCCTGCTTGAGCTCTTAGGAGAAGAATTGAAGTAGCACAGGGCTCTGCAAACTGATCTACACTTGTGCCTGGAACTTTGTGATAACAGGTCATGTCCACTTCCTCACCCAGTTTGCCACACTTTAATCTTTCTCAGGACAGATAGATCATCGAGGCTGTTTGTCAGGTGTGTTTGAAGGGTGAGGAAAGTAAAACCAACCTGTTGGTAGAATCATTGCTAAGGGGAAGTTAATTTCAAACAGTGACTTGTGTTGGGCTTTATGGAGAATCTAGCCATTTGGATTGGCCCAAGTTTTTAGAGGAAGACCAAGAAAGAAGATACTAAGGCCACCCTTTGGCTTGTCTTTAAGAGGTGACATCACACAACTCCGACCTTTTTTGGCTTATGGGATTATGGGCCCAATGTCCATTTCTGCTTTTCTGAGTGAAAACTAGAAACATTTTGTGTGAAATCTCTTGATTTCACAATTACAAGCACTGCACAGACAAAACATTTCCTGGGAGTCCAATTCAGTCCTCAAGATACTAGTTTGTAACCTCTGATATAGTATTTTTCTTAACCTGAGAGGTGTGTTCTTAATAATTCACCCAGTGTTTATTGAGTGAAGCACTGTGGTGGGTATAACTTAGCAAGAGTATGTTCCTTATCCTTCAGAGAGCTGTGCTTAGCTGAGAAGAAAAACCAGACAAGGACTATTTCCATTTTTGTTTTAAATTACCCGTCATGATGCCCTATGTATGGTGACCCAAAATGTATATTTGATATTTGATGTTACTACAACATAAGGCCATTCAAATCCCTGCTGAATGTTTTCTTGACCTTAATAGTTCTATCAATCTTCATCCCTACCCCCAGCAACCATTGCCATAGACGTAGCCACCCTGCCCATCCCCTACCCCTGCACCACACACACTTCTTTTTCTGCACTGGTAGTTCTGTGTCAGGGTTCCCTAGAGGAACAGATGTAATATAAAATAGATGTCATCCAGAGGTGATGGCGAAGACCGGAGCTCCTCTGAAGAAGCAGAGGCAGAACTTCCTCCTTCTTTCCCTTTTTAGTCCATCTAGGCTACAAGCCTGTTGGTACCACCCACACCCATGGTGGGTCTTCTGTCTTCAATAAGTCAATCATCTGGACATACCCACAGCTGTGCCAAATCAGTGTGCTAGGCATTTCTCATTGAAGTTGACACCGTAATTAACTATCTCAGCTCCCCTGGGTACCCACTATCGGAAAATTCTCTACACTGTATGATAGGCAAGTGCATTTGCCTGAATCCCTCTCACCCCGGCTCCTGAGAACTTGAAGGAAGAAGGGATTACTCAACTGCATGAATTGGTGTCTCTGCAAGTATTATGGTGTTGTATCGCAGCTAGGCTCTGAGCGCCACATGGCAGTGCTCCAGGGAGCTTCCTTCACATTCCCTTAAGTGGCGATTCCGAAACCTTACTGTCTTTCTTTATCCTCTACCCAAAGCCTCTTTCCCAGATGATCTTGTCTCCAAAATCACAAAGCAAATGAAAGCTATTAGGTGTGAACTTTTCCAGTTTATAATTTATTCCTCTTCCCAACTACAATATAATATAAAGGTTAAGGACTAGGGGTCTAGAATAGTACTACCTGAGCTCAAATCCTGGACCTGGCATTTGCTATCTGGATAGTCTTGGACAAGCTACTTAATCTTTCTTGGCATAAAGAGTTGTAAGGATAAAATAAAGTAGGCCAGGTAAAGCCTTTACAGTAGGTCCTAGCACAAATAATACATGCTAGCAATTCTTGTTATCAGTGGTCTTTTTGTATCTTTAACTGTACTTTTACCCTTCCTCTTGTTTAAGGCAATTATTTCTGTTTTCC